TCCCCAGTACCATATTTTGGTCATCCAAGTGCACCATTGCTGCCTACTTGTCAAACGTGTAATGTTGAAGGACACACTGCTCCATATTGCCAGTCTAAACTTCTTGATAAAGCTCCATGTCAAATATGTGGCAAGCACAATCACAGCACATGGTACTGTTTTTTCAATGACAAGGGTCCTAATTTTGGTGGTCCTACCCGACAGTTCTATCCTTCTTAAATGCAGCCATCCACATATGGTGCTCCAAGCTATAATGCTCCATTTCAGCATTCATCAATGCAATCTCAACCTTTTCATCCTCATCCACAATCTCCACACGCACTACATACTGTGATGACTCAATCACCATCTTCACCGTCTACTTCTTATTCTAATCCTCAAGTGTGGATCATTGACTCTGGAGCCACTAATCACATGACTGCTGATCTCAGTAACCTATCTTTGGCATCGCCATATCCTACATCTGAGACCATTCAAACTGCCAATGGTGAAGGTTTACCTGTGTCTCATATTGGTAGCACAGTTCTCAATGTTTCCAAACTAAATTATGTGCATCCGATTAAGCTCAATTCTGTGCTTTATGTTCCGAAGTTGACACAAAACTTGTTATCTGTGCATCGCATCTGTTTAGATAATAACTGCTGGCTAATTTTTTATGCTTTCTGCTTCTGGATTCAGAACAAGGCCACAAGGAGGATCATTTACAAGGGAAAATGCAGTAATGGCCTCTATCCCATCCCTTGTCTTTCTGCCACATCTCATTCTACACATTCAGCTCCATTTCAAGCTACAGCATTCCTTGGTCAGCATGTTCATTCTACAACCTGGCATAACAGACTAGGTCACCCATCTAATAACATTGGTTCTTTGATGCTAAAGCAAGCTAATATCCCTTGTTCCAAGTCTTCATTACTTGTAATGTGCTCTAGCTGTTTGGAGGGCAAGTTTTGTAAACTTCCCTTTTCCCTAAGTACCAATAAGTCTGTAAAACCTTTTGCTGTTATTCATAGTGATATTTGGGGTCCAGCTTCTTCTATTTCCATTGATGGTTACAGATATTATGTGACCTTTATCGATGAATATACAAGACATTGTTGGTTGTTTCCATTGATCAACAAATCTGATGTCTTTGCTACTTTTGTTACATTCTATTCATTTGTTCTTACTCAGTTTGCAACTGCTATTCAAACCTTACAGAGTGATGGAGGGGGTGAGTATGTTAGTAAGGCATTTCAGTCCTTTCTTCTTGATAAGGGTATTACTCATCAACTTTCTTGCCCACATACACCCGAGCAAAATGGTCTAGCCGAGCGAAAGCATAGGCATGTTATTGAAACCACGGTGACCTTATTACAAACAGCTAGGTTACCTGCTAGTTTTTGGTCGTATGCTTGTCAAACAGCTGTCTACCTCATTAATCGAATGCCCTCTTCTGTGCTAGGACATAAATCTCCTTTTGAACTTTTGTTTGGTCATCTTCCTGTTATCTCTCATCTCCGAATTTTCGGTTGTGCATGCTATCCTTTGTTAAAGCCTTATAATGCTACTAAATTACAAGCCAAGACCACCAAGTGTATTTTTCTGGGTTATGCTACCAAATATAAAGGGTATATATGTTATGAGGTTTCTAAACAACGAGTTTATATTTCGAGACATGTTGTGTTTGATGAGGATCAATTTCCTTACACAACTTTGTTGGTTCACTCTAAAAATTCATATCAATCTTCTTCAGTTCCTACTTTCACACTTCCCGCACCTGTGATTTCTAATGACAATGTTGTGTTACCTATGTCTCATTCATCCTCTAGATCACCATCATCTCATACCAATCCTGCCTCCTCATCTTCACCTTCTCCTTCTCCCATATCCATCTCTCCTATTCCTTCTTCACCCCTATCTTTTCCATCCATTACTGGTTCTTCCACTTCTCATTCTCCAGTCCCTGTCCCTATGGCACTTGTCCCTGGTTCTGATTCTTCTCCAGCAGCGTCCTTTGGTCCTGATACTTTGCAAGTGGTGTTGGAGGTTCCACCCCTCAATTTGCATCCTATGAAAACTCGGAGCAAAAGTGGTATTATCAAGACGAAATCTTTATTAGCTACTATTCAGGAGTCTGACTGCACTGATTTGTCCCTTATTGAACCAACTTCTTATAAAACAGCAATGAAGGATCCTACTTGGTTGAAAGCTATGCAAGAGGAGATCAGTGCTTTACATAAACAAGGTACTTGGAGTTTGGTGGTATTACCTTCTACAAAGAACTTGGTCGGTTGCAAATGGATATTCAAGATCAAGAAACATTCTGATGGCACTATTGCTCGCCATAAAGCTCGGCTTGTTGCTAAAGGGTTTAGTCAAGAACCAGGTCTTGATTATGGGGAAACCTTCAGTCCTGTGGTTAAACCTACCACGGTTCGCCTAGTATTGGCTTTGGCAGCTCAATTTAATTGGCCCCTTAGGCAACTAGATGTCAAGAATGCCTTTTTACATGGCATTTTGGATGAAGAGGTGTATATGACCCAGCCTCCTGGTTTTGCTGATGTCACTACTTCTCACCTTGTTTGCAAGTTGCACAAGTCCCTATATGGACTTAAGCAAGCCCCTCGAGCTTGGAATGACAGATTTACCAAGTTCTTGCCTCTTTTGGGTTTTCAGCACACTTATTCTGACTCCTCCCTGTTTGTCAAGACAGTTGACTCTGGTATTGTCATCTTACTGCTTTATGTGGACGATATTATTATCACAGGGAATGCAGCTGCAGCTATGCAACAGGTTATTAGTGCTTTAACCAAGGAATTTGATATCAAGGATCTGGGGGATTTGCATTTCTTTCTGGGCATTCAAATCTCTCGCACTGCACATGGCTTATGTTTGTCTCAATCCAAATATATTTGGATCTTCTTACTAAAACTGAGATGCTTGAGTCCAAGTCATGTGAGACTCCTTGTTTGCCCTATAACCGGCTTCTCAAAGATGATGGTGCTCCTTATAACAATCCAACGTTGTACAGGAGTGTAGTAGGTGCATTGCAGTACCTCACATTTACAAGGCCGGATATAGCATTTTCTGTCCATCAAGTATGTCAATTCATGCAACAGCCTATGATTGCTCATTTCACTGCTGTCAAACGCATTTTGAGGTACTTAAAGGGTACCATTCATCATGGCCTCTTTTATTCACAAGGACCACTCCAATTAAAAGCCTTTAGTGATGCTGATTGGGCAGGTGATCCTAATGATAGGCGTTCTACCACTGGCATGGCTGTGTTTTTAGGAAACAATCCTATATCCTGGTCATCAAAGAAACAATTGACAGTTTCTCGCTCATCCACAGAGGCTGAATATCGAGCCTTGTCCTCTACTTCCGCTGAATTAGACTGGATTCAACAACTGTTAGTCTTTCTGCATGTTCCTCTTACATCACCTTCGGTTTTATTTTGTGATAATTTGTCCACCATTGCTTTGGCTTTTAATCCGGTTCAACATCAACGCACTAAGCACATAGAGGTTGATGTTCATTTTGTGCGTGAACGCGTTGCCAAGAAACAACTTTCTGTTCAGTTTGTGTCATCTAAAGAGCAGTTTGCTGATATTTTGACTAAAGGGTTGAGTTCTCCTCTGTTTCGTACTCACTGTACCAACCTCATGCTTCGAGCTTCGAATCATGTGTTTGCGGGGGGATGATAGAATAGGGATATTGGTATAAGATGTTGCCACTTGTAATTAGATTAGAGAAGAAGTTAGTTAAGGAAGTTAGCTGTGTAAGTGTAGGACTATAAATACCTCAACACTGTATTACTTGGTTGTTAAGAAAATATATCAGAGATATTCATCTTCTCTCTAAGTTCTTTCTCTCTCTCTCTCTCTCTCTAAGTCTGTTACATTCTTATTCTTCCTTACTGTATAAGATTGATCATAGTTAACATTAATGTGTATCTATGTGACTAACAAACATTAACGTGTGACAATCGTTAATATGCGTGAACGTAGAATTGTGTGAAAGAAAGAAAAAAAAGAAAGAAAAAAGAAACCCTCAAACTAAATAAAACAAGCGTTTGCATATTCTCAGTCATATATATGTTCTTCTCAACAAACTAGAAAGAAAGCTTCACGAAGAAGGTGTTCTATGACTTCTTGTTTTTCCGCACAAAAATGATTTACCACCAACCTAGTTTAAAAATCTCCAGTCAGTTGGAAAATGCTTCCAAATTGGAAATGGTGGTTGAAAATATAGGGTTAAAGAAATTGAATAAAGTTCTTTTGCTTTACCTACTAAGCATTTGGTACACTGGTACGTATTTGTTTGACTCACATTGATTGTGAGAACGATATAGATTTGTGATGAGTGCGGTATCTAATTGTGTTCCTTTGTGATGGTTTGGCTTTGAGACTGCATTGTAAAAGTCACTGTATCTGTACTGTCCTTTTTGCTAATACTAATTTACGTTAATAAGGGGCACGATTTAAATAGTAACATAATAGGCAAACAGGTTTCTGGCTAGTAAGCTAATTATATATATGGAAACTAATGTAATTAATTGAAAAACATTTTCTAAAGATATATTCAGTTAAACTATAAGATGACTAGTAATTTACTGAAATCTTAATTTTACACAAATGTTCTATATACGTGGCCTACAGAGTTTCACTTCAACCTAGTCAACTATTTTTAGGAAACAATCTATTTTCTGAGTAATATATTTGCATCTGGATTCGTATATGTTTAACTTGGAAAAGGAAAATCGCAATAAGAAAATACAAGGAAATGAAGAAAACCAAGATCTCAATTTTATGATTTACTTTGATGAATATGAAAGATAAGCATTACCCGCTCTCAATTTGTTTTGCATCCCCTGCCTGCATGCGGCTACTATATATATGTATTGGTACATAACCTAGCTCTCAAACAATTCATATTCTTATCAAATTTATTGCTGGACTCCAGCATATTACTTTTGCTGCTTCAATTCTGGTTTAATTTTTCCCCCGTTTCGTAAAAAAATGCAGGACCGACTCGTTAGCCTTTTGATATTTAGCATTGTGCTGTCTGGGTTGATTGATATTGGGTACAGTGAAAGAACATTTGATGTTCTTAATTATAGAGCTGTTGGGGATGGAGAAGCTGACGATTCTGAAGTAACTTCTCTCTTTTCTTCTTTGTTTTCACATTCATATGTTTTGTACAGGTATATGCTTTGTGTATAGGTTCTCTATTGATTATACTTGAATTCTGGACCCCTGGTCACTCATGACGTTCTATCCCAAATACATGAATCAGTAGTAATGTAACACACATATTCTTTTTTAAGTCGTCATGGGTGGTTCAAAAACAATTAATTCGTCACATTATTAAATCAAAAGCATGCTTTACACCAAACAAATTATTTTCATGAAATAGGACATAAATGTGTTTTATTGGGGGCCAAATTTTCAATATTTTTTCATTTTTCATTATCTTACAAAGGAAAATACTAGTTTTTTTTTTGTTTTTTTTTTATTCTTTTATTTTAACAAATGAAAATATTTTAATCAGTTATTTTCTTGTTGAATAATAATTTTTTGACTATAGTGTTGTTATCCATACACCCATTTTTATCTTTTATACGCACGCACCTCTCAATTTTTGGGCGTTGGACCAAATTATTGAAAAGAACTAAAGCACATAAATTAACGGATTGTGTTTAGGAGCTTGGGACGTAAAAAAAAATGAGTGGATAACATCGTTCTCGAATACTACTTGAACAAGTTAAAAAGAATAAACTTAAATATGAATCATTGTGTTACTTAGCCGCACTTTCCACTCCCAGCATCGTTGTATAGAAAAAATTATGAACCGTTCTTAACTTTGCATGTATAGGCTTTTGTAAATGCATGGAAAGCCTTATGTGGAGCAGATGAAGTTGGTGACGTACCTACACTAGTTATACCTAAGGGAAAAACATTCTTACTGCAGCCTATCGAATTTGAAGGCCCTTGCAGGCCTAAGAGGGTCCATATTCAGGTAAATCTAATAAGGAATATTTATGGCAAGCAAATTTAATAAGGAATTTATAATCCTCTAATTATAGCTAAGATTTCCTTTCCTTCGTTGTCTTTATATTTCGCTCTGTTGTTTTTTCCTTTATTTTGTATCCTAATGTACTCGTTCGAGTTTGGATAAGAAAGATTTATATGGCACATGTATTAGGTCACTGTGGTATAAAACGCTGCGAGTGACAATGTATTCATGTCATATGTAAGTCATGTGTTCATGTCATATGTAAGTCTCTTATGCTTAATAATCTATAGTGATGTAAGATCTGTGGCTATTCTGGTAGTAGGCTCAGGTTCATCCATGGCTATTGTCCATTTATTGCTGCAAACTAAAATTATTCAGTAATATGACTTGAAATTTTGAAAAATGGTTAAATGTTCCTTTCATATTGGGTCCGGAGAGTAGGTCCTGGGGAATGTAGTGGCACCCAAAACGGTGGATGCATGGAAAGAGTGCCCATCATCAAATACCTGGCTCCAATTTACAAATGTGGCAAATCTCATACTGGATGGTTCAGGAACAATCAATGGCCAGGGTTCACCTTGGTGGAGCAATAGCATTGCCAACCAATATATCTCCTTTATAAATGTAATACTCTGTTCGTATCTATTGAAATTATAATATAATCACCATACATCTAAGATGCTTATCTCATCCAACATATTTACAGGTCAATGAGAAGAGCTGCGAAGGACCAAGGGTTAGTATGAATTTAATTATCAAACTATGAATCCAAACCATTAGTCAAACTGATTTTTCTTTTAGTAGTGTGTGGTGCAAATTTATTATTTGATCAACAAAATTATTTAGACACGCATAAGACACAATAATTAACTCACTCTCTAATATAGGTTGATCCGTCATTTCATTTGAAAGTGAAACTCACTTGTATTAAAGCATGTATAAACAAATGTATCGGTTTTGTGTGTTGATCCCAGTTTCCTCACTATTGTTTGTATTTAAAAAATAGCATTACTTCATCTGGTAGGATGGTACCATAGGAATTTGTTTGAACCAATATCATTTTAATCCATATTACTAAATTAAAGTTGGGTTTTACCAATTACTGCAGGCTCTACACTTTAACAGATGTGACAATCTTCGTTTAAGTGGACTTACTCATGTCAATAGCCCAAAAGCTCATATTGGTATAAACCACTGCATCAACGTCGATGTCTCCCATCTTACTATAATTGCACCTGCCGAAAGTCCGAATACTGATGGAATTGATATCTCAAACTCTATCAATGTCAATATTCATGACTCTTTTATTGGAACTGGTAATTAATTTAAATTCATTTTATGTAATTAATCATGATCATTATTTTGCAGGCCATGCAACCAATTAGTTTTTTTGTGCATTTTGTTACAACAGGTGATGACTGTATCGCTATCAATTCTGGGTCTTCCAACATCAACATTACTAACATTGCGTGTGGACCAGGCCATGGAATTAGGTTTATCCAAAATAACCACGCAAAAAATATTATATCAATTTATTGACAACATTAATTAGATGTTGAGCATATAATTAAGTTTAGAGTAATCCTAGGGAGACTAAAATTTTCAATTAAATTTTGTAGACCAAATGATGTGGTTTTTAATGATTGGATCATTACTTAAGTGTTGATTAACGTATTTACTTTATATTAGTAACACATCATTTGATTTACAAATTTGGTTTAAAAATTTGGTTTTCCTCTCATTATCCTTAAGTTTAACACTCGTTGTAACTTTATGTACTTTGTTGAATTCAGTGTGGGAAGCTTAGGAAAAAATGGAGCTCATGAAACAGTAGAAAATGTTTACGTGAGAGATTGTAGTTTCAATGGTACTCAAAATGGAGCAAGAATCAAAACATGGCAGGTATATATAATTATATGTACCATAAAAAATTTATGTATATGCACACCTTATCTTATCCAAGTTGGGTAGAGCAATGTGATATCTTCTCTACACCCAAATTGAAACTTTCATCCCCGTAGTTTGGATGAACTATACTATTGTTTGTCCAAAGGAGAAATTCCATTTATATAGTTAGTATTTTTTTATACGTTCAGTCTCCAAATTAAGATACAGTTGACCCATTTCCTGTGTTTGCATCGATTCTCTAAGATATTGTCCTTGTTAATTTTCAGGGTGGATCTGGCTATGCTAAGAATATAGTTTTTGAGAAGATCACACTTGTTGCAGCTGAAAACCCTATCATCATTGACCAATTTTATTGTGATGCTAAAGCTAAAGTAAGCTGCGATAATCATCAGGTATATTTACTTTCTCTTTTTTATTTGAAGTGTTTAACGGTTTATAGAGTAATGTTATTTTGCCATACTTATAATGTCAAACTATGAATTTGTATTTCACATGCAACAAAATTAGAATAATAAATGTGAGTTTAATTCACAAACGTAAACCATTTTGCATTACTAAAGATTCTGGCAAGAGAACAATTTTTCCATAGTATCGCATTTGTTGACATGGGGCTTGACTTGTTCCAAATATTTGATGATTAGACGTCAGCTGTGACCGTGAGCGAGGTGAGATACATTGCTTTTGAAGGAACTTCTGGTAGCGAGGAGGCGATCACATTAAACTGCAACCAGATTCATGGCTGTCAAAACATTGTTATGGAAGAAATTCATATCACCTCTGCTGTTCCTAGTAAGAAGATTTATGCAAGTTGCAGCCATGCCAAAGGAACCTGCAATGACAGTACTGTGCCCGTATCTTGCCTCGACAAGTGATCGCACTGTTCATGGCTTCTACTTGATCTAACTCTATGTTGCAGTTCCTTATGGCCTTGTAAGAGCCTTATTATATTCGCTCTTTTGTTGGAGAAAATTTCAATATTATATATAAGAAGTGTTTTTCAATATTCTAAGAGTTTTATTTGATCGAAATTGATAATTCTTCAGTTTTTTTCCGAGAAGCTTGGGTTTTCAAAGAGAACTAGGTTAGAGAATAGAGAGAGGAAATACAACTTTTCATTCAACTGAAGTTGAACATCTACAATTCAGAAACAGACCTATATACTTAAACTAAACAACAGAAAAACATAATTAATTAGCCATTACATGTGTCCTAACTGTCCAGGTCAGCATAAGACTAGCTAATACCCTCGCTTAATCTCAAGCTAGGACTAGCATGAGATTCTTTCTAAGATACAAAATCTGAGGACAATGTAACCCCTTGGTCATGATATCAGCCAATTGTTCGGAGCTAGGAATATGATGGACAAGTAAATCTTTCCGTTGAAAGCGTTCGCGAACAAAATGAAAATCAATTTCCATGTGTTTGGCCGACTATGAAATATTGGGTTATGAGCAAACCCATTGTGAGAAAAAAAAGGTAGTGCTATCCATACATTTTTATTTCTCACATAGCCTCTCAATTTCGACCATCAGATCGATGAATTGAAGAAGATCAATGATCAAAATTAACATGGTTGTGAGAAATAAAAATAAGTGCATGAATATCAATTTCTTATTTAATATCGTCAATATTGTCGTAGGTATCATATTTATTAATTCCCAATCAATGAATATCATACATTTCATAAAAAAATATTGTCCGAAATATTTATAATAAACGTTAAAAGAAAGAGTATGTGGGTTACTTTTCCGATTTTCCCTCTATTTTTTCAATATTTAAAACTATTATAAATTCTAATATGTTATAAATATGTAAGAGTTAGAGGGATAGCCTTTTTAGTGAATAGAACGAAGCAAGTGTAAAATGTCACACTGAAAACGATAGCACAAGAGAATAACATATAAAAGATGGAGGAAGAGATTTCTTTCTTTCTTTCTATTTTCTGTTGTCATTTGATTGCAGTCGAGTGCTTTATTTATAGAGCAACTCATATTACTACATTTGAAATTTACAACATCCTTTTTGGCAATATGATATCCTGCATTCCCAAAGTCAAGTTCAATTTGCATGGGTATTGAAAATCTCTGTGTGTGGCATTGAAAACTCTACCAAAGTACAGTGGGCATTCACTACCCACCAGTATTTTCAACACTCCCCCTTGGATGCCCACATATCAACATCAGTTGCCTCGTTAAAACCTTACTTGGAAAAACCCAGTGGGAAAAAACCATAGCGAAGGAAAAATAGTACAACTTTTCCTGGATTGTTGATATAGTGTTAAATATGCTTATGTTGCCTCGTTAAAACCTTGATAGGAAAAACCCAGTGGGAAAAATCCTAATCGAAGGAAAAAGAGTACAATATGCATGTATCATGGGTGCTCCCCCTGATATGTATCTCCTCTTGATTCCGCATTCTCCAAATTTAGTTGTTTGGTAAGTCGACGTAATCCGATACTTTGCACTAACTTCTGAAACGTGCATTTTGGTAGAGATTTGGTGAACAAATCTGCCAGATTTTCATTAGAACGTATTTGTCTGACTTCAATAACTTTAGCCTTTTGGAGCTCATGTGCACTGAAAAACTTTGGAGATATATGTTTAGTTTTATCGCCCTGATGAATCCGTCCTTCATTTAGGAAACACAGGCTGCATTATCTTCATGAACGACAGATGGAGTGTTTGTCTTTGAAAGTAGACCACATGAATTCCAAATATGATGAATCATTGATCTTAACCAAGAACATTCATGACTTGCTTCATGTAAAGCAAGTATTTCTGAATGATTTGAAGATGTGGCAACTAATGTTTGCTTTGTTGAGCGCCATGAGATTGTTGTATCTCCATTCTTGAACACATATACAGTTTGTGATCGAGCTTTATGCGGATCAGATAGGAAACCAGCATCTGCATATCCAACAAAGACTTGGTCATTTGTGGAGTTCTTTGAGTAGAAGAGACACATGTCTGTTGTCCCACGATGGTATCACAATACATCTTTGACACCCTTCCAATAACGAATTGTTGGAGCAGAGCTATACCTTGCTAACAAGTTGACTAAAAAAGCTATATCTAGTCTAGTACATTGTGCTACATACAACAAAGCACCTACTGCACTCAGATATGGTACTTCTGGACCAAGGACTATTTCATCATCTTCTTTTGGACGGAATTGATCTTTCTTAATGTCCAGAGAACGAATGACCATTGGCGTGCTGAGTGGATAAGCTTTGTCCATACCAAATCGCTTCAGAAATTTTTCAATGTAAGTTGATTGGTGAACCAAAATTCCACTAGCATAATGCTCGATCTGCAGGCCGAGACAAAATTTCGTTTTTCCAAGGTCTTTCATTTCAAATTCGCTTTTCAGATATTCAGCAATTTTATGTAACTCTTCAGGAGTTCCAACTAGGCTCATATCATTAACATATACTGCCACTATAGCAAATCCAGAATGAGATTTCTTAATGAACACACAAGGGTAAATGACATTGTTGATGTATCATTCTTTGATCAAATACTCACTGAGACGATTATACCACATTTATCCAGATTGTTTTAGCTCATACAATGATCGCCTTAATTTGATCGAGAGCATACCTCGTGATTTGTTAGATGTTTCAGGCGACTTAAGTCCTTCTGGGACTTTCATATATATGTCAGTATCTAATTCTCCATATAGATACGCGGTGATGACATCCATAAGTCGCATGTCAAGTTTTTCTGAAACCGTTAAACTTATTAAGTAACGGAATGTAATTGCGTCCATTACAGGAGAGTATGTCTCCTCATAATTAATTCCAGGTCTTTGTGAAAAACCTTGTGCAACGAGTCGTGCTTTATATCTTGCAATCTCGTTTTTCTCATTGCGTTTCCTTGTGAATACCCATTTGTAACTCATGGTGTTTACACCAGGTGGGGTTTGGACTACTGGTCCAAAAACATTTCGCCTTTCCAAGGAATTTAATTCTACCTGGATTGCATCTTTCCACTTAGGCCAATCTTGTCTCTGTTTACATTAATCAACAGAGCGGGGCTCAATATCATCACTTAATATGATTTCAGTGGCTACTACAAATGCAAACATATCGTCAATGATTATTTTATTTTGATCCCAAAATTCATTAGTACATGCATAATTTATGGAGATTTCTTTGCTTTCATGTACTTTTGTCTCTTCAGGGACATGTGTCTCATCAAGGACATTTTCTTTTTCTGGAAGTCCAGAATCATGAATTGTAGATTTGTCATTCGTTCTCTTTTCCTGAATGATTTCATTTGGATTAAAATGTGCCCTTGTCTTTCTCTTTCGAGGATCTGAATCTTTTGAACCTGGTGGTCTACCACGCTTCAGGCGTGCACCAGATTTTATTTTGTCCAATAGGGACATCAATTTTTGCAGATGCATTTGCAGCTGGTATATGCAATTTTGTCACTTTCATAGCATCATTAAATGCATATGGCATTTGATTGGCAATGCTTTGAAGATAAACGATCATTTTTACTTCATTTTCACATTGAATGCTTCGAGGATCAAAATGAAACAATGTGGGAACAACCCATGTCAGCTCTTTCCATTCTTCTGGAACAGTCTTTTCTCCCCCTAATAACGGGAAAATTGTCTCATCAAAGTGACAATCAGCCAAAACGAGCTGTAAACATATCACTTGTCAAGGGTTCCAAATATCTAATGATAGATGGTGAATCAAAACCCACATAAATTCACAGTCTACGCTGAGGTCCCATTTTAGTGTGTTACGGGGGTGCAACAGGCACATAAATAGCACAACCAAAAACTCGTAAATGTGAAATGTATGGCTGATGCCCAAACACTAGTTGTATTGATGAGTATTGGTGGTTGGCTATAGGTCTCAATCGAACCAATAATGCAGTATGTAGGATGGCATGTCCCCATGCAGAAACTGGCAATGTGGTTTTCATAAGCAGAGTGCGAGCTATTAACTGAAGCCGCTTAATCAATGCTTCTGCCAAACCATTTTAAGTATGGACATGAGGAACATGGTGTTCAACATCAATGCCCAATGGCATGAAATAATCATCAAAAGTTTGAGACGTAAATTCACCAGCGTTATCAAGTCGGATTGACTTAATGGGATAATCTGGGAACTGTGCTTGTAACTTAGTTATCTGAGTAAGAAGTCTCGCAAAAGCTCAATTTCGAGTAGATAAGAGACAAACATGTGACCATCTGGTAGATGCATCAACCAAAATCATAAAATATCGAAATGGTCCACAAGATGGTTGAATAGGTCCACAAATATCCCCTTGAATTCTTTGCAGAAATGATGGGGATTCAACATCAACCTTTAGTTGTGATGGTCTGATTACCAACTTCCCTTGAGAACAAGCCTTGCAAGGGTTATCATTTGAGATAGCAATATGTCTGCTCAATAATGGATGTCCATTAGAGTTGGTAATGATTCTACGCATCATGGTAGATCTTGGGTGACCCAGACAGTCATGCCAAAGCATGTAAACTTTTGAATCAATGAACTTCTGGTTCATGACAGTATGTGATTCAACTGTCTTTATGTATGTATAAAACAATCCACTCGACAAACAACGCAACTTCTCCAATATATGCTTCTGGGTATCATTGAAGGTAATGCATAGATACTCCACATTTTCTGCACTTTTCGTTTCAATGTGGTATCCATTTAAACGTATGTCTTTGAAACTCAACAAGTTTCGAGTAGATCGAGTAACATACAATGCATTCTATATGGACAATATTGTTCTATTTGGTAACATAATATGGGCTTTACCCGAGCCTTCAATTACATCTGATTTTCCTGATATTGTTGTACCCTTATTCTTGTAAGCATCAAGCTTAAGAAATACTTTCGATCACGAAGTATTGTATGCGTAGTTGCGTAGTCTGCAAGACAAATGTCTCCCCCATTTCTCATGTTTTGAGAATGACTATAA